AACTTTCTGCGAACAGTCCTTACCCTCCGCCAGTACGGTTGTCCTTACCCCTTACTGTCCAGCGCAGTCCTGCAGTATGCATTTTGAATTTTGCTCGCAAATTGCAAGCACTCACCTGACCACGCTGGCCAATGAGAAGTGCTATTTAGCACAGTCAATTACAGTTCCGATTAGGGATGCACAGGTACAGAGTATTTGGGCTAGTACTTATACTCGCCCAAATGCTCAGATAGCTTCCCCAGTACTGGAACTTCCGGTCAGAGGAAGATTTCCTCCAACCGGCAGTGCCGCATGGGAACATGGAGCCAGCTTCCCGTGTAATCAGGAAGGAGGGCAGTGACTAATGGCCCGCCTCCCAGTTTCCTGATTGGTCGGGAAGCCAGCTCCTTGCTGATTGGCTGCCAATCAGCATCAAGCTGTCTTCCCGGCCAATCAGGTCATTACTCTCCGTCCGGTTTCCTGATTGGCTAGCAAGCTGGCTCGATGCTGATTGGGCGGGATGTCTTCCCAGCCATTCACAATCAAGCCGGCCAAACAACATGGAGTCGGCTTCCCTGGCAGTCAGGAAGCCGGGTAGCATCTTATTACCCGCTGCCCGGCTTCCTGATTGCCCGGGAAGCCTGCTCCATGCTAACGGAAGCACCGATAGTGAGGTGTCATGAAGGACAAGTAGATTTGACCCCCGCTTTAGCCCTTGGACAAGTAGTTTTTTCAAAAACGTCCACACCACTGTGAAGGTATGAACAAACGCCTCTACGTGTCTGCATTAAATACCTGCAGATTCCAACCCAACACAAAATCTGCCAGGCCACATTCAAACCTGCAAATGGGGCCAATTGCATTGGCGTGATAAATTAATTTGCTTCCTTGCGATTTGCTGCGACCAGGAAGTGCTATATAATCCAATGACAGTTGCCACCGTCCGCAGGTAATCACGCAGCCTGCACTTTCCTGCAGGCGACCGCACCTGGACATTCCCCAGTTATCATAAAGCCCGTAATTACTTGAGGATGATCGTAACTGAATGCAAACAGCTGTCATTAGATTATAGAGCAACTCCTGCCAGTAGGAGATTGCATGAGTTCCACGAAGGAATTCACAGGTATGAATGGGGCCCAACTTTCAATCCTAAAAAAAGTAACCCTTACCATCAAGTTAAACCAAATGCATGTTTGTTTTTGGTATCAAAGTGTTAAATATAACCTAATCTACCAAGCCACGGCAGTGACGTCACAAGGGGGTGTGGCCCGCACCCGGGTGACACCATTGGGAGGGGCGAGACCGAAATGACTTAGTCATTTCGGTCCCACCCCCTCTAAAAAGTCAGGCACTCTGTCATGGACCGAGAACCCGAAAGTGTCAGGAAAGAGGAGGGGACCCGGCGCCATACCTCATCCCGCCGGGTGAATGTCCCCTCCTCTCTCTCTGCCGGCGTCCATCACCAAGATGGCCGCCGGCTGGCTTCAATTAGATGACCGCGCATGCACGATGACATTGCGGCGGGGTGCACCCAGTCTCCGCTCGGGGTGACACCCGGCCTCGGGACGCCCCTGAGCCACGCTTAGAAAATCCCAGGAGCCAGGTAGCCAATACTCCTTAAAACATGCAGCCGGCACCTAACTTTTGAGGCTGTCTAGTTGTTGGCAATGGAGCTGACTCCTAGATTGGACAGACTGGCTTTTGAATTCCATAATAATTTGTCAATTTGGGCTAAGCTAATGACATATCTAGGTGGTCTTAGCATATGTGCACGTTATGCATTGTTCTACACTCCAGCGGTTTGCCAAAAAAAATAAAGTGTACCAAAGCTGCAGGCAGAATTCTAGCTTTGCGCACACAGGAAAGCACAGAGCTGAACACAAGGCAGGTTCCTGTAGAAGACTGTTCATCAAGCAAAATGGACTATCCCAAGGCACATCAAGTGTGGAAGGAGCCATTTCCACTCGTGAATTGGCTGTGAAAAGCAGAAGTGCAATTGCCCAGAAGCAGACCAGAACTGTGCAACTCTGCTGGATATTAGCAGTAACCGGATTGTTTGCTGGGATGGTGGTCACATGATTTAACAGTTGACGGAGCATGAGGTATTTAAAAAGCACAACAGTGGAATGGACAGCAGGATAGGGGGACAGGAAAACGTGCCATATCCCCACAGTGAGTTCCATTGTCGGCACTATTCCACAACATCTAAAGAAAGATTTTTCTTGTTGTTCTTTTTTATAAAATGTGTGAAAATGATTAAAAACGTAATCTCTCTCTATAAGTTCATGTAAAAAGCGCTGCCAATAGAAGTTACATTAGGGGCAGGATTTTCAGGACAGCTGCCCTTTCATCAATACTCACTATCTGCCCAGATATCAAAAAGACATCTGACAAAATCTCACAGATGTCACTAGAAAAGGAGGTTATGAGAATTACCGTTCAAGTGACAACTGTCAGACAGGAACGCCCCTCACTTTGGAGTGATAGCCTCTTACTTCCTGCTACATGTCTAGGAGAGGAAGTGAAGGGAAATCTCTGCAATTAGACAAGAATAGCACTATAAAAATTACCCCTTTCTGTATCTAAAAAAAATGGACTATACATACACTTTAATCTGCCCCCTTCAGAACATGCTCCACATAACACAGGTGAATGTGTGCATGTCCCTGCAAAAGGACATGCATTACCACAGACAGGCATAAACATGTGTACTTAAGGGTCTGTGTTGAAGGACATTAGCTCTGAATGGGCAAAGTAACAAATTCTCTTTAAGTGCCCATTCACACCACATGCAGAACCTTTTGCAGACCAGACCATATAGTTTCTGGACCCAAAATGCATCCTATGATATTTCTGGCCTCTGTTCACACCAGCGCAGTCCATTCCAGACCAGACCAAAAAAATACTGCATGTCTCATTTTGTCTGGTCTGGAATGCACAGAAATGCATATAAACTCATCAGAAATGCATGGAACGCTCCAGAGTCCATTTTAAGCTAAAAAAAAAAAGCTCCGGAACACACAAAAATCATGGTAAAAATGCGGCAAAAACACAATGCACTGCATTTCAGATCTGGTCTAAGAAATGGTGTGAACCCAGCCTTAGGGTCCATTCACACCACATCATCTCCAGACCGTTTCCGGACCCAAATTGTATCCTAATGTATCCCTATGCTATTTCTCGCCTCTGTTCCCACCAGCGCAGTAGGTCTCAGACAAGAAAAATACTGCTTGTCCTATTTTGTAAGGTCTGGAACACACTGGAACTGTGGACAGGTTCACACCATTTTCCGGACCACGTCTGGTCCCGAAAATGGTGTGAACCTGCCCTTAAAAGCATATCCTAACCCAAGAACACAAAATGTAATATATTGCGTCCTTCCAGTCCTTAGATGTGGCGGCGCCATTAGTTTTCATTTTTCAATCCAAGTAAATGTTCTACAAAGTACAGAAAAATACTCGTTTGATCCTGCCAGGAATCCAGTCTCCTTGTAACTTCCCGTGCACCGAACTAAAATTTCAACAAACCGTATTAGCTTCCTCTGATGCTGGTGCGCTGCATAAAACCACAAATGTATGGGTATGGGGCATCCAAGCACATACCTTCTGGCCTCCCACAATGCAGTGCTTGGTGTCTGAGCACCAGGCCCGGGGAGCATGCTGAGCCCTGTGCAAGAACTGACTTTCATGCAAATACCGTATATACTCGAGTATAAGCCGTCCCGAATATAAGCCGAGGTACCTAATTTTAGCCAAAAAAACTGGGAAAAAGTATTGACCCGAATATAAGCCGAGGGTGGGAAATGAGGCAGCTACTGGTAGATAGATACCATTAAAATACATTAATATTTATTTAAAAGAAAAATAACCTAGCTCTGTAAGTGGAAAAGGGGGTACAGGGCTACATATCATGTACTACGGATCATTTAACCCATTCATATTAGCAGAGGATAATTGTAAATCTATTGTTCAGTGCACTCTATATGTAGTATATAGTACATGTACATATAGAGTGCCTGCAACAATACATTTACAATGATCCTCTGCTAACATGAATGGGTTAAATGATCCATAGTACAGGGCTACATACAGATCATTTAATACATTCATGTTAGTATAATTGTAAATGTATTGTCTGCACTGTATTAGCAGTATATACTCTATATAGAGTATATACTGCTAATACAGTGCAGACAATACATATATAATTGCTTAATTAATCTCTCTCTCTACCCCCCCCCCTCCCCCCCCGCCCCTCCCCTCACTCACTGTGTGCCGGTGATCGGATCATCACGGAGAGAGCAGGGACGAGTCAGCGGCGCGCTGATCAGACGAGAGGAGCTCCAGGTGGGGTCCTAATTTAGCTGGCTCAGAGGTGCCTGCCCGATAATTACAACCCCACCTGGAGCTCCTCTCGCCTGATCAGCGCGCCGCTGACTCATCCCTGCTCCCCTGCCTGACTGGCCGCTGCGGGGGGGTTTTTCTTCTTCTTACTTACCTCGCCGAGCGTCGCTGCTGCTGCGGTGTGCGGCGCTCCGAGCGGGGTCATCTGGCAGTCTCCGGCCACCTAAATTAGGACCCGGAGACTGCCAGATGACCCCGCTCGGAGCGCCGCACACCGAGCAGCAGTGACGCGACGCTCGGCGAGGTAAGTAAGAAGACGCGCTGGCGCTGACTCGAGTATAAGCCGAGGGGGGCACTTTTCACCCAAAAAAATGGGCTGAAAATCTCGGCTTATACTCGAGTATATACGGTAAGTGCTATGAGAAAGTCAACATTTGCATAAGACTTCCAGTGATGGGCCGAGGTAATAAATGACCAATGAACCTGAAAAACAACTCTTCCACAGGTCAACCTACTATTACAGCCACGGCAATAGCCAAAGAGAAGTAAGAGTCAGCAGTAAGGCAACTATATATGATTTGTTAGGAATACAGACCTTCAGGGAATGTCCCAAGAATATACAAAACCAGACATATATTTAAAGTACAATAAAATTAGCCCATTGGCTCTCATATTTACCTCTGCTGAGATCTATTGGAACGTTCTCCTCCCCGCTGTCATTCCGCCCTAAGAAAATAAAAACACACACATTAGTAGAAGGAACTCAGAGTGATTGCATACAAACATGATAGACACAGGTCCGAACCTTTTACTAGCTAAAAAAATCTATAAAGAGTTTATATTTTCTTGTACTAGAGAGTTAGAATTATGTTGCAATGTCCCTATTGGTTCAGAATATTTCCAGTTTCTGTGACCACTTTATAATGGATACAGGAAGAAAAGTAAAACCCCAACAACAATCAAGCAGCCATATAGTGTGTATCCAAATGTTCATAATTCCCCCAAGCTGAAAACTTATAAAACAGGAATCTTTGTACTCATGGTAAAATTCTCTTCTTGGAGTCAATAGAGGGACTCAGGAAGTCATTTACATTCAGGTTATACTGCCGCCTACAGGATGATTGGACACTAGAAATGAAAAAAATAAACAAAGATGTAGAACAGCCCAGGTTAGCCCTCCTACTACCAGCATGCCCTCAGTTTTTTTTAGAAAAGAAGTACAGCGAGCATGAACATCAACACAGATAGGTGGGACCTGCGTCCCCCAATGGACTCCAAATAAAGGATTTAATGGCAAGTGCAAAAATCCTATTTTCACAAGTACTCGTAAAAATGCCCCAATACTAAGTACCAATACCAACGTTTTACATATTTAAGCATGGGCGGCTGACAGAGGTCCCGTGTCTGGGGACATTAAGCAGCTGCTGGAGACCTCTGGTTACACCCCCAGGCCGGCCCTCTCCTCACACACCCCCAGGCCGGCCCTCTCCTCACACACTCCAGCACAAAGCCCCTGGGACTATGGCACAAAGCTCCAGGACCTGCCAGGGGAGGAGGGAAGCTGCACCCTCACAGCGGCACCATGCAGCCTTCTCGAGGAAGTTAAGATATGGGGAGCCAGGCCGATGTCACTGCATGATTGTCACTTACTGAAGGACACTGCAGGTGTTACAAACTTAAAATACTTTGTTAAACAAGACTGAGCCCGATATTCACTAGACAGATACCTTATTGCGTCGAGGTACCAGTAACTTGTATCGGTTAGTATTAGAGAAAAAGTATCGGTACGTGTGCGCGGCCTTGAAAAAATGGTATCGGTGCATCCCTACCATCAACACACATGTAATAAAAATGATCATGTGACAAGGTTATCACATGACACCAGCCTTGGAGGCCCGAATGTTCATAAACCAATCCGCACCACAGAAAGCCACCTGGAAAGAGCTGAGCTCCGGCACTGGAAGAGAGAACAAGGTCTTATACTTCCAAAATGAAGGGATGATCTCTCTACAGTCTGTGAGCTCTCCATACAAGCAGAACTCACATCATGGCTAATAAGAGTCATTCTATCGACCTGCAAACTGCTCTCCAGCCCTGTTATCAAGCAATGAATAACAGATGCCTAAGTGCAATCAAATGACAAAATGAAAGAAAACCCTCACAGTAATGAACGGAGCTGTAATGTAAGACTCTGACATGACTCATCCCTTGCTTCAAAAACAACCCTTCACAACAGGCTGCCTTGTGGGAAATAAGGGTACGTGTGCTTCAACAATCCCTATTGTTCTGAAAGCATACTATTATATGGAGATTAAAGGACAAACACGTGTGAAAATCATTCACCAACACAGTGCAAGTTGTAATCCTAGAAGAAAAAGAAGTACTTGTAGAGGGGAAGATCCCCCTAAAAATAGTCAAAAGGAAACAGGGGGAGGGGATGTTTAGGTACAAGTGGCACAACGTAAAGGTCTGATTCCGAATGAAATTGTTTCATGTGTTGGGCTGATGTTATTATATAACTTTTAAATAACCAGCAATAATTATAAATTAGAATTAAACTCTCAAACCTTTTCCCATTAATCCAGATCAAACAAATGTACAGAGCCCAGCAGAGTATTGTTTTACATTTTTTTTGCCTCAACACTTACAATCATCATGTTTCTTAACAGCTGCTTCCAAGTCTCTCAGCTCAGCTTCCCTGAACTTCCTGTCCATTACAAGATCACAAGGACAGAGCAGACTCCAGCAACTGTTCATCTATTAGCTTGGGGGAGGGGGCGAGGAAAGAGTAGCTTGCCTTGCTGGGTCTGTGAGTGTGTGGAGATACACACAGCTTACTAGCACACACAAGGGTGGCTCCATAGGATCCTGCAAGGGAAAGGAGTCACCCTAAAACAGAATATCAGGAACAGTGTTTAGGGGACCAGCTGATTCTGCAGGAAACAAACATTTAGTACTCATTTAGTACTCATTCCTCCACAGGATCCCGGAGGGGCAGTTAGTTATGTAAGCAGCGACTATTTTGGCTGATTTTAGCGATAGGCTTAAGAGCCCATTCACACCAGGGCGGTTGCAGATCAGCGCGGTTACTGTGCTGATCTCGCAAGAGAGGTTTTGGGAGTTTTTCGGTTCACGCGGTCGCATGAAGGGTTCCAATAGCAATGTATGGGATCATTCATGTCGGCGAATCAGTGCGGCCGAACCGCCCCGGTGTGAACGAGGTCTTAATTTGGCACATATGGTAAGATTCGAGTTTATGTGGCAAAACGTATCATTTACATTGTTGATTTAATAAGCGTGCTAGGCTCACTGCAATACTGATTTTTTTCAAACAAAAAGGTGTAGTCGTCCTTTAGGCCCCGTTCACACCGGGGCGGGGCGGTGCGGCCGTGTGGATCCGCCGACATGAACAATCCCATACATTGCTATGGGGACCGTTCATGTGACCGCGCAATCCGAACCGCTTCCTGAGCTTTTTTTTCTGCGCTGATCAGCACGATTTCCATACGGCTTTCAATGGAACCGCTCTGATCAGCGCGGTTTCGGGTTTTTTTAATTGCGTTTCAGCTCTGAAATGCAATTCAAAACCACCAAAACAGCCTTTTTAAAAAGCGCATGGAAACCGTGCTGATCTGCACCCGCCCTGGTGTGAATGGGGCCTTAAGTCCATCACTAGCACACTTGCATAGAGCATTAGGCCCCATTCACACTGAGCAGAAAATCACACGATTTCCGCCGCGATATCGCGGCCAATGTTATTCAATGGAGCTGTTCTAATATACAGCTCCATGTCGTGCTCAGCAGGACCTTTTTCGCGCGATTTTTTAATTTTTGAATGCAGCCCGCCATTGAAGGTCGCGCTATCTTCGCTTGAACGTCGCATTGAACAGTCGCGCTATCCCGGCCACGCGGATCCGCTTGTAAGGTATGTCGCTTAGTGTGAATGGGGCCTTAGGTCGGGTATGTGGTGGGAGGGAATAGAATACGTGCTCCATTCTCCCATGAACACTGGGTAACTGTGGTATCTTCACTGCATGTCTGCAGCATTTGTGAAATGGCTTATGGCCTTCCATAAAAACACTGCATGCTGCAGCACTTAAAGCAGAACTCCGGGGAAGATGATTCTTTACCCTTGCAGTGGGGCTACCCCTGCACTGCAAGCATTTAGTGCTCGGTTTTGGTCAAAAACAACAAAGTTATACTCACCTGATCCTCTGAGCCAGCTTGTTCTTAGATCAGTCTCCACGTCACTCCCCATCCTCTGTTCCAGCGAGTTATCACGTTCTATGCACAGTGTATTGGTCGTGAGGACGCTGAAGGACAACATCGCTGAAGAGGAGAGAGGCGGAAGGGACCGGTCTAAGGGCAAGCTGGCTCAGAAGAAGATCGGGTGAGTACATCTGTTACTTCTGGACAAATGAGCACCTAACCCTTGCAGTGCAAGGTGATGTTCTTACCAATGAGTGCTCGCCATTTGTGAGCGAAATTCAAAATCCAGAGCACCAGGCCGTGCTAGAAAGCAGTACAGGGTTACAGATAGTTCCCAAAAAGTAAGTATACCTGCAATGGGAAAGAGCCACCCTAAAAACAGGATATGAGGGCCAGTGCTCAGGGGACCAGCCGAGTTTGCAGTAGCAGCATCCATTATAAGTGATTTAATCAGAATATCACTTTAAAGCCCTGAAATCACCTAAAGGCCAATTGACACCACCCTGGTCCGTGGCGGTGCATTCAATGTACACGTGTTAGGCAGCCAATTTATATGCATGTTTGCCAAGCGCACCAAATTCAGACATGCAGCATTTTCTGCAGCACATCACAGTGCCCTGAGAAGGTGCATTGAGGTGTCATTCAGAATGTACATTGTACTGCACTGGTGCTAAGCCAGCTACTGAGGAACTACAAATCCCAGCATCGATGTAACGTAAATTAGAAACCCTTAGTTCCTAAATATGTTGCTATTGCAGGTGGCTGGGATGTAAATGTGTGCCCTACAGAAGTTGGATGATCTTACGGGAAGAATGGAAAATGGCTGTGAATCTTTCTCCCCGCTTGCTGCATCAGCCAAGCACACAAATAATACAGCGTCCTCTTCCTCATCACACAAGCAGCATTTCTGGCAACACCGACTCCCCCCCACCCATGCTACTGGGAGGGGATATCCTCATGTACTGCATTGCTCACCTGATGCAGCTGGTAAGGAAAGCCATGCAAGTCACATCTCTGAATTAGTAATCTGCCTACATGTGGCAAAATAAGGGTTAATGATTGAACCTTACAAGCAGGCCTCACCATGTAAACAACATTTATCGCACATAGGTCACAAAGCAGAAGAGTGTCTAAAGGCAGCCAGCAGGCGAAACCTAACCTGTAGCATCCGCAATGAGCCAGCCCAGTGACAACTGGCCAGTGTGAGTGTCACTAGGGGGCTGCACCCTCGCTGTGTTCCTCTACCACAAACATGTTTTGAAAGCATCTTCTCCCCCCTGAAAGGAAGTGGGCTCAGAACTAGACTGTACAGTGGGTGATCGCTACTTCTTTCCAGTGTAAACAACTCTAACTGAAACAGGCCCATGGTAGCTGTTCATTGCAATTACTAAAATCAAAGAGCTCAGTCAAAAATAAACTGCTGCACGCAAGCATGGGCACAGGTGAACCGTACTACCCAGGGACATTTTAATGCAATGTATTTTGGCACTATAGGAGTAAATTCATGACAATACAGG